AACTTATGAGGTCCCTACACATATAAGATGCATAGATGATTCTTCACAATTTGTTCCATTTCTTGCAGGTGAAACGTTACATTGGAAAATACATAATCAGTAAAGTATTTTGCCGTGATCCTTTTTGTTTGGATTTTTTGAATCGAGTAGGTCAGTCCTTTATTCATTTTGTATGTTGTACATAACCTCATTCAGTTGGAATTGTGGATTTTCTTTAATGAATTTGTTTATTTCCATTTCAGTTTGTCATCATTCTTTTCATAGTGCTGACAGTGTGGTTGGAGAAGAATGTGTTCAATATGAGTTTTCGTTATCCCTTATTCCACTGTCTTAGTCACAAATAGTCAAGTATGAAAACTCGCTCAATACAGTGTGGGTTCGTATATTTGCTGGACTAGAAAGTAAATGTATATTTATAGTTCTCATGAGAACACAACATTCCATAAACTTTCGCGTTCTTTGCATCTCCAATGCTTATTCGCGGAAATCAAATGTTGCCATTTTTCTGTCTTCAATAAAGACTATTTTTTTGTAATCGTATCTTGAAGGACTAGGAACATAAAAGAGATATTTTTGCAACAAGAGTTGAGACAAAAACGCTCTATACTCTATTCCCTTTGTAGAACTTGAAATGATTGATTTCGTTGACTCTTAATATATTTGACTAGAATCTTGTTGCAGCTCAGAAAGATAAGAATAAGGAAACCTACAGCAAGGATAACAGAAAACACAACAATGTACCAAAGAGCAGCCTTATACCCTTTTGTACTGTAATATAAAGGAATATTCAGATTTGTTCCAAAGCTATTTCCTGTCTAAGTAGTTTTCATCAGATTCGAAGTCTCCAATATTTAGTAATTTGGCTTACTGTGGCTCCAATCAAAACAGAAGACAAAACTAAATTTGCGAGGAAATTGTGTACCACGATATCGGTTCTTGATTTTTGCATGTGAAATTGGCTTTGTTCTTTCCCTTCAACAAGAATTCTCTCATAAGTATCAAATGACTCTTTCATTTGACCCAATTTCTGTGCAAAATTCTGATAGATTACTTTCTGCCTTGTTTTTCTTATACAATCTCTTACCTTGATAATTGTCAATAGCAAATCCATTCTTCTTTGTTCATTCTCCGCCAAGGCAAAATAATCAGTTCCTTGTTTACTACTATACATTTCCAAAAGAAAAGAAGACATATGAATGCACAATTTTTGCAGCTGTTCTTTTGATAGCTGAGACACAGCGTAGAATTGGCTCACTGTTTCACTTGATATCGCATGAATATTTCGAGAATGCTTCGACGCAAAACGAGACTGAATAAAAGAGGAAACATATTCTTTCTTTCTATAATAATCCATCAAGAGCATCCCAAAAAATATTCCTACTGTTGTAAGTCCTCCGGTAAAACAATTGGACAAAGAACACTCCGTCTCATTATTCAAAATGGCAATAATATTTTCAGCAGTTACGGGACAGTTGATCAAAAAAAGATTTTGCAAAGTTGAGATTGCCCTCCATTTCCCACAGGATATAAAGACAAGTCCATTGTCCTGCATCAAAATATGAAAACAGCAATCAGAGACTAGAAATTTTCGCAGCAACAATTTTGACAGAGAAGACAAACTTTTCCTTGAATTTTCCTCAGATCTCAAGCTAGATTTACAAATATTCATTATCTCATGTTCACTCGCATCAAATACAGTCAACCTGCACTGTAAAGAGACTTGATAGATTGAATATGTTAATGTAGGATACAGCTCTTTTGGAGTCATAAGAAAGAATCAATTTTTTGGATAGACAGATATTCCGCTAGAATGGCTCTTAACATCATTCTGACACGAGCAATTCACTAATGCGGCACGTGTGGAATGTTTGCTTGGATAATGGATTAGAATATCCACCAACTTTGTCTATTAGAAGAAGTTGCTTTGGACTAGTTTAAGAGCTCATAAATGTCATTGAAACTTTTGTTTTAAAAGGTGCTTCTTCACTTGGCTGTTGTTATTCGTTTAAAAATTGCTGATAGATAACAGGCAAACAACGAATCCTTGCAGTATTTATTACCAGCTTTTTTCATTTTGACATGTCGCTTTGTTTTTGTCGTTTCTCGTAGACGTCTATATGAAGGAACAAGTTGTCGGTACTTAAGTTTTCGAGCTCTCTGTATTTCTTTGGAAGAAGATCTTGTTGTCAATCACTAGAAAGGTACAAAGGAAAGATAAATAACAATGAAATAATAAGAAGAGACTGCTAGCCCTACTCTTTAAGACTCGCCAGGTCTATTAACGTGGATATCAGAGTTGCCTAGAGTCGTACAAAGACTCTGTCATAAATGGAGTATGTCCCTACCAAGTTACTTAACAAAGTTTTCATTTTAGATATTCATAATTCCAAGACATTTCATTGGTGACAAAACTTCTTTTCGTTGTTGAAACTATTCCTTATCACGTTGAAAGGACCCAACACTTGTCTACAGATATCTCTTGACGTTACCTCACGCCTGGTGTCAATCCAAATGCTTCTATAAAAAAAGAGTAGTTCCTTTGGCTTTGGATTAGGCAAGTTCAAGTACTCAGTTGCAACAAGTTGTATAGAATCCCTTTTGTCCAAAGTAATTCAAGATTCTCTCATTTACTGAGATATTTTTGTAGGTCTTCGTGTATAACTTGCTACAGAAAAACATCCTCTAGAACCTGATTAATCTTGCAACTCGTTGTTGTTTTCTTATCGACACAAAAAAATGCCAACTCGATTTGTTCTTAATGTGCTTGAGTTGGTTCATTTACACTTGTAGTATCAACAACTTCAGCATTTAGAGAATGTTATGACAACAAGAAGACGTTCTATTTACAAAGACAGCTTTGTTAGAATCCTAAAACAATTTACATTTTCTGCTTGTTCCAAACATTTCGATATCATTATGAAACGCAACTACATCCAACTTCACTCTCATAGGACAACACAATATCAG